TCACACCGGGCGCGTGTGCGTGTGTGCCCAAGATCCCAGGAAGAGAATGGAGAAGGGATTGCGGCATGGCCATCCCCCCTCAGGGGTGATTTCTCACTTTCCATCTCTCTGTCTCTTTATGGCGAGCGCTTGCGCCCTGTAGCAAAAACCTCTCCAAAGAAAATTTTTTTCACTTATCCGTTTATTTACTTATTTAAATTTGACCAGAGGGGGACCGAGTGGGAGAGAGAGAAAGAGGAGATTATATATATATTTTCTTTTTTTGAGAGGTTTTTCGCTATAGGGCATGTGTGCTCGCCAGACAGAGAGAGACATAGAGACAGAAAGCTAGAAATCACCCCCCACGGGGGATGGTCACGCTGCAATCCCTTCTCCTCCATTCTCCTCTCGGGATCTTGGGCATGCACGCACACGTGCCCGGTGTGAGTTTTAAGCCACCGGGTCCGGGACGCGAACCGTGGTCGACTACGTGGGAGTCCAGCGACATAGCCATTATGCTAACTGCTGGTTCCCAGGAGATTACATTTAAAAGGGAGAACCACAGAGGGAGTGGGAGTACATTAATTGTCATGAATTAATATTGGTGACAGCAACAAGGTGATCTGTAAGGAGGATGAGCCATCTAGGAAACGAACAGGAAACCAAGGTCTAGAAGAGAAGGACTAACCGACCTTCACATGAATTTGCTGGAAATAAGTTCTATCTTTTTTTGGGGGGAGAGAGGGGCTAAAGGGCACATGTGCTTGCCAGAGACAGAAAAGGAAAGTGAGAGATCATCCCCCAGAGGGGATAGTCACGTTGTGATCCCTTTTCCTGGAATTCTGGGTACACACACACCTGGCATGATACTTAAGCAGCTCGGTCTGGGACTTGCACTGCACAGTCATCCGTGCAGGATCCAGCACCTTAACCTCCAGGTCACCTGCTGGCCCCGGGGAGAAGTTTAAAGTTCAGATAAGATTCAGCATGACCACAGCCCTATTCCTCATGCCCGCTAAGGCCAATAGACATTTTTTAAACAGAAATTTATGTATACTTTTTTCTTTTTTGCTGCTTATTTATTTCATGAGGAAGAAACAGAGAGAAAGACAAGCACCGACAACCAGTCTCTTGCTACACTTCCCCTTTCTGTTCCCAGTCAGCAGGGATCAAGGTCGCAAGTGCTGCTGGCATGTAGGAGTTGACCTGGGAACCAAACCCTGGCCTTCTCTATGGCTTCCAGCACTATAGAACATTATAGAATATTCCAGCATTATAGAACATTGGCCTACTGATGCACCACAGGCTGGGCCCCCGTAAAAATTTTAGTTTTCCAACTGTCTTATTTTCTTTCATATAATCTAGTTCATAACAGTTAATTCCTTAGCTATCTGAAAGAAATGAGGGGAGAAGGCTTCTGCTTCCTCTGTCTGCCTGCGCGAGGGCAATCCAGACTGGCACACGGTAAGTGCTCAGTACACAGTCACTTTGCGGGTGAGTGAGTACGTGTGTGGCCTGACCGATAAGCGGAATGGGTGACAGCCTGCTGGAAAGCTCTACGGATGTCCTGGTCATAGGATGTACACACAAATAAAGAGCAAATTGACGACCTGGCATGGTGATGCCCGCACGGACACTTTCTTCATGGAGAACGTTCCGTTCATAAGTAGATCTTCGTCATCTTGCACACTGACTTCTGAAGGAGGTCACAGTGCACGTCATTCCAGCCCCACTGGTTTGAGCTGGTACGAAAATGGATGGTAACACACCGCTCATCGCGATTGTTGGGTTCCCCCGGGTGCCAGAACCTGAAAGGGAGAGAAAGGATGAGGCATTTCTTCAAACAGGACCTTGAGCAGGGGCAGAGACTTATGAGGGGGGAAGGGTACGACATTGACATCTGAATATCAGGGTCAGCTAGCACCCAACTTCTTCCTCCCCACTTCCGCTGCCACATTCTCTAAACCTTCACATCCAGGTACTCCCCACACCCCCATGGGTCTCTGGGATTTCCCAGGGAAACCGTTCCCACGTGACCCTTACATTCAATGCCAGGGCATTGCCAATCACACAGGGTTTGCTTTTAATAATCATTTTTATTATTTATTTTAGAGATTTTTGCTATGGGGGGGCACATGCTCATCAGAGACACAGAGATAGAAAGCAAGAAAGCACCCCCTGGTGGGGGGGGTGGCCACACCACAGTCCCCTCCTCCATTCCCCTCTTGGGATCTCGGGCACGCATGCACATGCACCCGGTGTGAGTTTTAAGACGCTGGGCCACGTGGGAGTCCAGCCCCTCAACCACCCTGTCACCTGCTGACCCTCATTATTATTTGAGATGTTTTAGGGCATGTGCTATCCACAGACAGAGACAGACTGAGAGGGAAAGTGACAAATCACCCCCCGGGGGATGGTCACGCTGCAATCTCTTCTCCTACATTCTCTTCCCGGGATTTTGGGCATGCACACTTGGCGTGAATTTCAAGCCACTGGGTCTGGGACTGGAACCGTGGTCAGTCACGTGGGAGGCCAGCGATGTAACTGCCATGCCATCTCCTGGCCCCTTATTATTTTTAATTCAGTGGAGAAAGTGAGAAAGCAAGTCTTCAAAGGCAGACTCGCTCAAATTGCTGTCAGCCACGTGGGCTGACTAGCACCTTGACCACCACGCTATCTGCTGGCCCCTCACAGGGTTTTCTTAACTGGTTCAAATATATCCTGACTCGCAAGAACTAATACAATTTGTTCCTTTTGTTTTCTTCACGCACTGCTGTTGGAGTCAGAAATAGACAAATTGGCACGACGAGACACGTACTGCCTGTAATTTTGGCCAAGTGATTTCATTTCCATGATTCTCAGTTTCCCTATCTAAATAAAAAAGAAACTGGAATAATTTTTTTTTTAAGAATTTTTTATTTTTTGGAGAAGTTTTTGCTATAGGGTATGTGTGCTCGCCAGAAAGACAGAGAGACAGAGCGATAGAAAAGTGAGAAATCACCCCCCAGGGGGGACGGCCACGCTGCAATCCCTTCTCCTCTTGGGATACCCGGCACGCATGCACACATGCCCGGTGTGAGTTTAAGGCATGGGGTCCAGGACTCGAACCACGGTTGACTATATGTGAGTCCAGAGACGTGGCCATCATGCCATCTGCTGGTACCTTTTAAGAATTATTTATCTAACTTTGGGGACCAGCAGGTGATATGGTGGTTAAAGGCACTGAATTCCCACATGACCGACCGTGGTTCAAGTCCTGGACCTGGCAGCTTGATTTCTCACTTTCCCTTTCTCTCTGTCTCTATCTGGTCAAATTTAATAATAATAATAACAACAAATTGAATTAAATAAATAATTCTCTTTTTAAAAAGGAATGATCTACCTAACTTTATTTATTTATTATTATTATTATTATTCAATTTGACCACAGAGACAGAGAGTAAGAAAGCAAGCCACCAAGTCTGGGACTCAAATGTGGTCAGCCATGTGGAAATCCAGCACCTTAACCATGTCACCTGCTGGCCCCAAGAGTAATATTCTTTTTATTTCTTTTAATTTAATTTTATGTATGCATTTTATTTGTTTGTTTGTTTGTTTATTGTAGAGAGGTTTTTACTATAGGGTGCATGCACTCCCTGGAGAGACAGAAAGAAACAGAGACAGAAAGAAATCACCCCACAGGGGGGATAGCTGCACCACAATCCCTTCTCCTCCATTTTCCTCTCAGGATTTTGGACACACGCACACACCTGCCCGGCATGAGCTTTAAGGTACCGGGTCCGCACTCAAGCCTCAATCGACTACATGGGAGTCCAGCAACGTAACCATTATGCTATCTGCTGATCCCTATTTATTTAAATTTTACCAGAGTGGGACAGAGCAAGAGAGAGAGAGAGAAGGAAAGTGAGAGAGCAGTCCCTGGGGGATGGTCACGCCATAAGCCCTTCTGCTCCATTTCTCCTTTCAGGATTTGGGGCGCACACGCACACACCCAGCCTAGTTTTCAAGCTGCTGGATCTGAGACTTGAACCACAGAGTTGGCCACGTGGGATCCAGCCACTTTAACCATCATGCCACTGGCCGGCCCCATTTTTTGCTTTGTGAGAAACAGTAAATGTTACTGCTTATGCTCTTAATTGAAATTATTTTATTTATTAATTACCAGATTATGCTCAATAGAAGAGACAGAGAGGGCCAACAGGTGGCGTAGTGGTGAAGGCGCTAGACTTCCACACGGTTGACCATGTTTTGAGTCCCAGACCCAGAGGCCTGAAAATCATGCCAGGCATGTGCACTTGTGTGGCCAAAATCCCAGGAGCAGAATGGAGGAGAAAGGACTGTGGCGTGGCCATTCCCGCAGTGATTTCTCACTTCCCCTCTCACTGTCTCTCTGGCAAGCATACGTGCGTCAAAAACCTTAGAAAAGAGGAAGAAAGCACTCCCCAGTGGGGTGGTAACGCTGCAATTCCTTCTCCGTTTCTCCATTCTGCTGGGATTTGGGGCTTGCACACAAACACACACATGCCTGGCACGTTTTACAAGCCACCAGGGCCAGGAGTTACACCTCAGTTAACTATGTGAGATCTGGCTCCCTTAACCTCTAGGCTACCAGGCCAGTCCTTTTTTGGTTTTATTTAAAGGCATAAATTGAGTTAAGGTGCTGGACTCCCACACGGCCGACTGGTTCAGTCCCAGACCTGGGGGCTTGCTTTCTCACTTCCTCTCTCTCTCTCTCTCTCTCTCTGTGTGTGTGTGTGTGTCTGTGTGTCTGTGTGTCTGTGTCTGGTGAATGCCAGTGTCCTACAGCTGATGGAAATAATAATAAATTATGTACTACTCTCCTGAAAGTACTGCCATCTGGAGGTCCTGTTGAAAGCCCTGTTCAACATCTCTAGGTCCTCTTAAAAACCCTGTTAAGAGACCAGACCGTAATGGCTATGTCGTGGGACTCCCACATAGTTGACCCAGTGACTTAAAGTCATGGCGGGCGCGTGTGTGTGTGTGCTCAAGACCCCGAGAGAAGACTAGAGGAGAAGGGATTGCAGTGTGGCCATCCCCCCTGGGGGCTGGTTTCTCACTTTCTGTCTCTCTGTCTCTCTCTGTCTTTCTGGCGAGCGCACATGCCCTATAGCAAAAACCTCTCCAAAAAAAAAAGGAAAAGAAAAGAGAAACCTTGTTAAAATTTTTCAGCTCATTGAGTGAGAATATCCTTTCCTTAGGGTAGGAATGATTTCCCCTCCCCACTTACAGATATCTCCTTGCTAGAACCTCACCAATTGCTTCTGTAAAACCTTCCCAAATGGATTGTGGCTTTTATTGCTTGATACTTAATGTCTGTAACATGCCTGGGCAAACCCTCTCATTTAAAAAAATACATATATTTAATTTTATTCATTCATTCATTTATTTTAATTTGACCAGACAGACAGAGGGGGGGGGGGAGAAAGCAAGCCACCAGGTCTGGGACTCGAACCATTGTCGGCCATGTGGGACTGTCCAGCGCCTTAATCATCATGCCACCTGCTGGTCCCAAAACCCTCTCCTTTTATTGGAATGGAATGTAGCCACCCCTTGCCTTTTTATTTTTGGAGAGGTTTTTGCTATAAGGCCCATGTGCTCGCCAGAAAGACAGAGACAGAGAGACAGAAAGTGAGAAATCACCCCCCCCAGAGGGGATGGCCACGCTGCAATCCCTTCTCCTCTATTCTCCTCTCGAGATCTTGGGCACGCACGCACACATGCCTGGCGTGAGTTTAAGCCACCGGGTCTGGGACTCAAACCGCAGTCAGCTACTTGGGAGTCCAGCGACATAGCCATTACGCTGCTGGTCCCTCCCTTTGCCTTTTTAAACCCTTCTCCCCTTCCCTTCGGACTGCGAGGTCTTTGAGAGACTGAGTCCACTCACAGTCACCAGCTTACAAATAAAGACTCCTTTAATTCAATTAAGACTGGATGTCCTCTTATTTCTTGCTGATTGGAAAATAACCCAGGACCCAGGATCCTCTATGGAATGCCGTACTCACGTGACAGCTGCATCGTATGGGGTCTGATCGACCCACTGCCAGCGTCGCTGACCCGCCGGATCGGACAGCCCCACATAATAAGCTGACTCTTTCATCAGATGCTTGATGATGAACTCCTGAGGGGAGAAGAGAAAGGCGCCTGAGCCTTTAGCGGACTCACGTGGCACTGAGCTTTTGATGGTCTTAGGGAGAGGGAAGAGAAGAAAGGAGAGGCTCCAGGAATAGTCACGGCGGCTCCCACTGGAGCTCAGGTTTGCTCGGCTGGGCCGCGCCACGTCGAAGACCTCCCTTCAACACACAGGAGCGAGTTCTGTCCATGATCAGAATAAACTCTTGGGTCGGGAACCAGCAGTTAGCGTAATGGCTATGTCGTTGGACTCCCACGTAGTCGACTGCAAGATCCCGAGAGGAGAAGGGATTGCAGGATGGCTATCCCCCCAGGGAGTGATTTCTCGCTTTCTGTCTCTATGTCTTTCTCTGTCTGTCTGGTTCTTGCTTTCTGTCTCTATGTCTCTCTCTGTCTATCTGGTAGACCCATAGGTCCAATGAAGAGAACTTATTCAAAAAAAAAAAAAAAAAAAAAAAATCAATTCTTGGGTCAGACTCACTTTCTTTGTATCTTTGCTGAATGACAGAAGTCTTAAAAATTCTTGTTTTTATTTCACTTTATTTGTTTATTTAAATTTGACCAGAGAGAAGGGAGAGAGAGACAGAGACAGAGAGAGAGAATGTGAGAAAGTAAGCCATCAGGTCCGGGACTCAAGCTGCAGTCAGCCACGTGGGAGTCCAGCACCCTTAACCACGATGCCACCTGCCGGTCCTGAAAGGTCTCGAAAATTCTGCATGTACACCTTCTCCCTCATGCCTCATATATTCTTGTGAAGGGAGTTTGGTGTAGCTTTATTTATAAAATTATTTTATTTATTATAATTATTATGTTAACTTGCTATAGGGCACATTCACACACCAGAGAGAGAAAGAAAGTGAGAAAGCAAGCCACCAGGTCCAGGACTTGAACCACAGTGGGCCATGCGGGAGTCTGATGCTGTAACCGCCACACCACCTGCTGGCCCCTAGTATAACTTTAGATTTCTCTGTCCTTCATTACACCCAGGGGAGAAGTCTCACCTGACCAGGAAACTCTGGGCGGAACAACCGGATGCATCTGATACATGAGAGAGCCATACTAAGCATTCAGAGCACGGCCATGCCTTTAGTCTTTGTGGAAGCTTGTCCCCAGCCAGCAAGAGGCCGCATTACCTTCTCGTGGACCGCCCTCGTCTCCGTGTGAGCAAGACGGTCCCGCTGGTAAGCGAGTCTGGTTCTGAAGTCATTCCAATTCCAGCTGTGTGAGCAGTGAAGGCGATTGCTTTTGTCCTGGTTCCACAGTCGTTCATCTTTTCATGGATAGTCTTTGCAGGGAAGAAGATAACTAGGGGCCCCTCAGGAACCTCAACACTGAGGAGTTCTAGGATCAACCACGGTGGTGCCCGCAGTGGGGACACTGGTGGGCGACGCTGGAGGCCACCCGAGAAGGCCCCAGGTACATGCCCCAGGCCTGCCTGAACATGCCAAGCAAGACCATGTGTTCCCATCACCCTGACTGGCTGCAGGACTCAGAGAAGGATGGTGGCGTGAAGACCCTTTGGGGGTTCCTGTTTCTCTCTCTCTCTCTCTCTCTCTGTCTCTCAAATGAAGAAAATAAGTAAGTCAACTTTAAAAAAATCAGTACCTTTTTGGGGCTAGCTATTGGTGTGGGGGTTAAGGTGGCTGGATCCCACATGGCCAGCTGTGGTTGGAGCCCAGGACCCGGTGAAGAACGTGCTGGATGCGTGTGTGTGCCTGCCCACAATCCTAAGAGGAGGGTGGAGGAGAAAGGATTGTAGCAGTTGTCCACGTGGGAGTGTCCAGTGCCTTAACTACCATGCCACATGCTGGTCTCACTTTTGCTTAACTTTAAAACACTTGTCTGGTGGGCAGGTGGCATAGTGGTTAAGGGTGCTGGACTCCCACATGGCCGACTGCAGTTCGAGTCCTGGACCTGGCGGCTTGCTTTCCCCCTTTTCCCTTCTCACTTCCTCTTCCACAAGTATGTGCACTCTATAGTAAAAGTAAAAAAGAAAATAAAAAACAATTAAATTTAAAATATTTTACCAGGGGAACCAGCAGTTAGCGTAATGGCTATGTCGCTGGATTCCCACGTAGTCGACCGCGGTTTGTGTCCCGGACCCGGTGGCTTAAAACTCACGCCGGGCGCGTGTGCGTGCGTGCCCAAGATTCCAAGAGGAGAATGGAGGAGAAGGGATTGCGGTGTGACCATCCCCCCTGGGGGTGATTTCTCGCTTTCTGTCTCTATGTCTCTCTCTGTCTGTCCAGCGAGCGCACGCGCCCTATAGTGAAAACCTCCCCCCTCTCAAAAAAAAGACCTTGGAAACTCCCACCTTTGCTTCCCACGCTGCAAACTTCTATCTCGTGGCCAACTTCGTGTATCATTTCTCCTATCGTTATGTGTTATTTATTTATCCTTTAAAGATGTATTTCTTCCCATTTGTTATTATTTTTTAAAATATATTACCAGAGACAGAGTGAGAAAGGGAAAGCGAGAAAGTAAGCCGCCAGGTTCAGGACTCGAACCGCTGTCAGCCATGAGGGAATCCAGCGCCCTCAACCACCTCGCGGCCTGCCAACCCCATGTGTTGATTTATCTGCTTCGGGTGACACCCTGAGCTGCTCCAGCAGGTCATGGGCGGAGCGGCCCCACTGGTGCGGCCCAGCTATTCCGGGAGGACTGGCGCGAGCCTCATCCTCACTGACGGCTCCCCAGCACCATCGGATTTCTGTCGCGGTTTTCGTCGCTTTCATCGTTACTTCTCTTTTCAACTTTCTCTTTTTTCCTAATTTGCGGCTTATTTCCTTGGCTGAGGATACTCTGACTGCAAAATGGTCATTCCAGTGTTCACGAATTCCCTCGGTGCTGGCCGAGTATCGCTGACGTCTCTCCCTTCCAGGAGTTCTCTGTCCTGAGCTTTCCTGCTTTTAGAGCTTTCGGGGACTGAGCTCCGCCGCCAGGGTTCCAGCGAGGGCCGCGCCCGTGCCGCGGGGGACAGGCGGAGGACAGGTGCGGAGGGTCCTCCTGCGGCGGCCGCG